GTATATGAGGATGAGGAAATAGATCTATGTGCCTATATTTATAGGTCTAGTATTAAGGTAGCAGAAGGACATTGGGCCTCCACTCAAGTACTCCCTAATGGAAGAATACTTTGTCCTATTAAATTGGCATTCTATGATGCTCACTTTCCCGACACAAACCGCTGAAGACAAAGCTGGTGAATAAGCAAATGTGGTGAAGAAAGCTAATGGTGCCTGGCTACCAAATGATATAGCATCTGGGGTCTTAAAAGCTTGTAGGTAAACAAGCGGCCATCTAACTCAGAAGCAACAAAGCCCACATGGAAGAACAACACATCAGCCTGTGTGATCACGAAGTGCCGAAGGGATCAGTTTTCTGGCGTTAAAGAACAAAAAATCCTATTGTGTGCTCACCTCCATGATACGATCACTGAAGACAAATGGGTGCATAAGGAAATATGGTGAAGAAAACTGATCGTGCCCAGCTATCAAAAGGTATAGTGTCTGGGGTTTTAAAGGCTTGAAGGTAAACAAGCAGCCTTGGTGTATTCAAGATCAAAAGATCACTTAGAAGACTCAGGTGTCCCTTATCCATGCTATTCAGTTCTGCTCACTTCATACTCATGTGAAAACTCACCAACAAATAAGGAAGACTGGAGGAAAATAGATGAATTTAAAACATGGTGTTTATGAAAATCTTGAAATTGCCTTGGACCGCCAGAAGAGCCAACAGAGGAATCTTAGAGAGAGTCCAGTCAGAATGCTCCTTGAAAAGGAGGATGGCGAGACTTCATCTCAGTTATTTTGGACATATTATCCGGAGAGACCAGTTCCTGGCAAAGGGCATCTTGCTCGGTAAAGTACAGTCATTGAATACGTGGAAGGCAATCTAACAGAACAACTGTGAGGATGGCCAGTATCAGGCAGTGCCCCCTTACGTTGTACATAAGAGCATTCAGATTTGATTCGGAGCCAACTGCTCAGAACCTATCAATACTAACCACAATCTTGCCACAAAGAGTTCTCAATTTTCTCAACTGCTTGTAAGAAAATGACTTTCTCATTAAAGAGTATATTAGAATAATGTTTTTCAAAACTTACTGAAAATAATTCTTAATTATTGTAGATTACTATGACATAAATATTTGTGAGGACATGGGTAGTTCATCATATACATTAAACATGGTAATGATTTACACAATATAAAGTGCACCACTGCATACAGACTTCAAATGCATATCTGAACTCTAGAAGCAGAATTATAACTTTATGACCCCTTTTTCTCTTGCAGTTTGCCAGACATATCAAGAAATCTGAAGGCCAGAAAATCCCTAAAGTTGAGTTGCAAATATCAATTTATGGAGTAAAAATTCTAGACCCTAAAACAAAGGTAATAGAGTTTTAAAATCCCTAGGTGGAGCTGAGTTTTGGATTTCAGTAACACGCTGATCTTTAATTGCAATTATATCTCTCTCTTAATAAGTATTTTAAAGGTATTACCAAATGGAACTGTTTAGTTTTCAGTTAATGATCATTTAAAATTATATAAGATTTTTAAGAGGATAAAAAATTTGCGGCATTATTTCTGCAGTCTGCTTTTCACCTGGGATTAAATTATAATGGTTTGTATGTAGTGCATTCATTAGTTTATAGATTTATTTTTTAGAATTTTTCTTTATGTCAAAGACATGCATATAGTATGATATATTGATTAGCAAGAAGACAAAAGCTGTATTCTGTTTATTGAGCTATTCTGGTATTTAAGAACTTATTCCCCCTAAAAATCTAATTGATTGTTTTAAAAGGTAATCTACTCTGGGTTGAAGCTCATTAAGATGCACTTTGTTCACAATGCTTCAGAATAATTCTTTAATAATTTTGATAAAATGATGATAATTTGGGGAAAGTGATTAACTTTTCACTCCAAATATTTTACAGATAGATATTGTCACTGCTTTCCTCTAACACTTAGCATGTTTTTATAATTATATCTACACCTCATTTACTATCTCATTATCTGACATTGTGTGTTTATAATAGCAAAAAATATATTTGTTTATTTCACACACTGAAAAGGTGGCGAGCATGAATGCAATAATTGTGGAGCACCCATCTCTAAATGAGGGTCTCTAGGAGACTTGGTAAATAGTACGACACTGCCACCTGTATGCCCACCTGCCTTCATGCAAGGCACCATGAGGCACCTGTGTAAGTTCTGATTTCCTCTTTGCCCTCTGGCTTTATAGTTCAAGATTGCTAGAGGGTGGGGAAGGAGGAAAGAGAGGAGAGAAAGAAGCATCCACCCAACAGGGTGTTTGGGAGAAATATGTGTGATTTTAAAGATATATCAACATAAATCAAACTGGACCTGAAGTGCAGCCAGGCTTTCAATACCCTCACAAAAAGCCCAGAGCCTCAATGACTCACCCACCCCAGAGAGCAGAGCAGGTGCCAGTGTGAATGCAGGGCTTACTGGGAGGGAGTGGGGGGCCCTGTAGGAGGTGGCTCTGGGGGAGCAGCTCTGACCCAGTAGAGGAGGAAGGAGAACTGGTGAAGCAATGGTTCCTCCTGTCACACAGCCAGCTTTATCCAGCTTTGTCTCCTTCTCTGAGGACCCTCCCCACAGTGATTTACATCAGTACAGCTGAACTGTTTCTGTAACATCTTCTAAATTAGAGCGTTGGACAAACGGATGATCAGAAAATAGAAAGAAATTCTCCATATTTACATAACACTGATTTTCATAGAACAACTCGGAATTTGGAGCCCAACCAGGTGAATAAGTGAGGAGTAGCTGTTAACCATGGCAGTAATTGAGGAGTAGCCAGACTGCAGTTTAAATCCCAAGGAAACCCTGAACTTTGAGTGTTTTCCCAGGTCTGCAAGTTTGCAGCAATCTAACCAAGGTTACTGATCTCTTTCTCTGTGGGGACCGCCTCCTCTGACTATGTTTGCTATGTGGACCAACAGCATCAGCATCAGCATCAGCTGGAAGCTTGTTAGAAATGTTAACCTTAAGGTCTTACTCAGGACCCACCAACCTCAACAGAAACCCCCGTGATTTATACACACATGAAAGTGTGAGGCCTTCTGGTATGCGGCACATTCTGGTGGCTATCTATAATGACCCTCGTTTTCAAAGGGTAGTCATAGTCCAAGGGACACCTGCATTCAAATACCCAACGTATTTGCAAAATTAAGTTCTGCAGGAAGGGATAGGAAGAAAGGACAGAGGGAAATGATAAACACATGGAGGAAGTAGAGAGAGTGCGGTTCTGTTGTTGAGATTGCAATCAGTGTCACAAGCAAAATGAGTGTGAATTGTTGAATTGAACACTCATGTGCTCTGTAACTGCTCACACAAATCAGTTTCATGAAGAGGGAGACAAACCACGATAGTCCTTACCAGCACTATGACCAACAACCCCCAGAGGTTAATGCAGCGTGTCTTTTCATAGGAGGCAAGGATTCTCTAACCATCAGATTTCTAGATGCTCCATCAGGGCTTTGAATTTTTAGGAAGAATGAGAGAAAAGTAGCTTGATTCAAAGAAAAGAAAAAAAAGTAATTCTGAGACTATTTAAACAGATTCTCTGAATGTGGACCGTTTATTTGCTTTCTTAGTCTGCTTGAGAACAACTGGAATATGGCATAGATGCATCATATTGTTTAATTCAAATTTAAAGAACAATGACATTCTTTCAAATGTCTCAAGCTATTCATTTTAGAACTCTCACAACAATCTGGTCTAATTTCCTTCTATTCTCCACCCTCAATATTAAATAACAAACAAAGAGGCGGGGAATTTACTTTGGCTTTGGCAATCTAAAAATAAACTACTGCTGAGGTGGCTGGAAACCCACAAAAGAAGCAATGAAAGGCGGTTCAGGCACAGAATAGGATACATATGGGTTCCGGAAAACGGCAGAGTGGAAAGTGAGGCACTATCTACTTAAAGGGTTGGTTGGCTTCAGTTAATTTATTAGGCAAACGTTAGCACAAATGAATAAGCTAGAGATGTAATGAATTCCATATTTACAGTAAATTGAAAAACAATCAAAATGTAGTCTAACTATATTGAGTCTAAAGCAAAAATAATCCTAGCCTTGCATTTCCTTTTAAAAAATAAATTGATACATATACAGCAAATGTCTAGCCAGAATTGATAATTTTTAGGTTGTGTTTATGTTGCAAGTTTTCTTATCAACCATAAATTGCTGCAAATTTCTATAATTGGTTTTTATTGTGTTTGTGTGCACGTACACTGTGTGTGTGTGAGAGAGAGAGAGCAGATAATGCAAAAGTCATATGCTGTTATCAACTTACCATTTGTTAGGTGGAGAGTATATGTGTATGCATTTCAACAATGTTTCTGTTAATGTAATCTTTTCTTCCTTGCAAGGTTCCATCAGGTCTTATAAGTGAGTGCTTATCACTCCGATGAGATAGATGTGTAAAACTTTTTTAAAGATTGAGATTACCAGTTAATTTATCATACTGGTTTGCCTTTTTTCCCCATTGTCCTATTTATTTTTATTATCTTGGGGGGGGGGAACAAAAACAAACATCCTCACAGTCCTACAGTAGATTCTAACCCACAGTGACCCTATAGGACTGAGTATAACTGCCCTTGAGGGTTTCCAAGATTGTAACTCTTTATAGGAGTAGAAAGCCTCTCCTTTCGCCCACAAAGACATTGGTGGTTTTGAACTGCTGACTTTGTGGTTAACAGCCCAACACACCACCAGGGCTCCTTTTCTTTTAAACAAAGATTATCTTAACTCTGGAGGGATGTATTTTTAATGTCAGTTTTTTTTAATTCCTCAAATGTGCTTTCTTCTCCACTGAGTCTGTTCATTGTTTTTGTTTTATCTTGCTTCCCAAGTCTGTGCAGATATGAGTACAGTTTTAAAGTTTCCAAAGACGATATTGAAAGCTGGAGTGTGTGTGTGTGTGTGTGTGTGTGTGTGTGTGTGTGTGTGTGTGTGTGTAAAGAGCTTATCCATCCTTCTGATCATCCTTTTGATATTTTGTAAGATTTAGGTTTTATATCACTTGATTCTTAATGCGTTTCCATAGAGGTGGATGTGTTACACATTTTATAAACATAATTTTTACTTTTGAACCTAGCAGCATTATTGCTGATAAAATCTCTATATTGGATCTTACCTTTTTTCATGAATTCTTACATTTTACAATTGATCTGATCCTTGCTATGGTTTTTACTGTCAGTCGCCCTTTGGTTAATTCTGACTCATGATGACTCTGTGTATATCAAGAGGTGTCTAGTAATAGCTTTGTCAGGAATTGACCATTGTGTGTAATCATGATGTTATATCCCTTTCAGATGCCCCATACCCCCACTCTTCACTCATTCTTTTGCTTGGAAATAAAGCTGTGTGGAGATTCCTATTATGTTTTAGAGCTCCTTTAAGAAATGATGCTAAGGAAACTAACTTTATACAAGTAATTTATATCCCCATTTTAGTAAAATACCAAGGAAAATGTGCTTGATTTTTTGCGGGGGAGTTGAAATATTACCCCAAAAATTTTAACTTTAAAATGTGGGAAATTAATACAAGCATGGGTTGTTATTATCTTGCTGTGTTCATCTGGGTAGACTAGAGAAACAAATTCCTATAAACTCATATTTGTATAGGAAAGAGCTTTATATATAAGAGCAATTGAATATTGAGAAAACATCCCAACCTAGTCCAGATCAAGTTCCTAAGTTCGATAGTAGCCTATATGTCCGATAACAAATCTATAAATTCCTCTTCAGACTCATGAAATACATGCAATAGCATGGAATGCAGGAAGATTACAGGCCAATGGGTGGGAGGTTTTGTGGATCCAGTGGTGGCATAATCCTCTCAGCACTGGCAGGAGTCTCCATGTGGCTTTTCCAGCTCAGGGCAGTAGCAGGGAACTGGCATAGCTCCAAGTGTCTTCTCAGTTGTAATGTCACCCAGGGAGTCTGAGAGAGTCCCGCCTCTAACAAACTATCTTATTGCCTCCAAATGAGGTCATCAAGCTGTGATCTGATTGACAGGCTAAGCTCTACCCCTTCACTCTTAATCCTCAAACTGACACCAGATTATGTAACTATCACAATTGCTTTTTAATATTTTTTGTTTTGCTTTATTTTTGGAGGGCTTTGGCCTGTTTTACATTTCTTCCAGTTTCAGCCAGATTGAGTGATTTGGGGCTTCAATATTACTAAAATTTTCTCTTTCTAGCACAATGCAAGTTAAAATATTAGAACAAAAAGAATCAAACTTCATTTGGGCATTTACCAAAAGAATATTTTCATTGCTTTTAAGGATACGGCCTTCATTTTTTTATCCTTGGCTTTAGTGGTTGGTGCATAAATGTAATTAATAGTCAAATTAATTGGACTTTGCAATTAATTTTTTTAAATGGCATTTGCTCATTCATGACCTTCTCTGGCTTCCCTTTTGCCAAAAGGTGAAGTTCAGACTTGCCTCCACCCTCCATCTTCTTTACCATATTCTGACACCAATTGTTCCTCCCACAACTACTTTTCTACCAGATTCCATAATTTGTTGGAGTTGTCACTCAGAACTCACAGACAATATTCACAATTAAGGTGGGGGGCGGGGCATGGTTATTAAGGAAGTCCATAACCACAGTCAAGATATTAACATATTATGCATACAGTCATTGGTCCACAACAATACCTTCCCATCCAGTAGTCAAATCATTCACCAGTCCTCAGCTTCTCAGCCGCATTGTTCCTCGGGCTCAATCTCTTTGGTCTGGGGAGCCAGTCCATTGCTTTGCCTCATGGTCTAATAGTCTCAGCACTGCTCCTCTGTTCTGTCTCGGGGCCTCCTTGCTTTGACCTCTAGTACCTCTGCTCTTGGCCTCTGTCACTTCAGACAGAGATCTAGAATGGGCTACACTGGTGGCTCTTCCAATGGTCATCAGATTTCTCACTCTTCCTGCCAAGACAGCTCATCATTATAGTCAGGAGAGTGACAACTAAAACTGACCAGTCCCCTCTGTTAGTGTTACACAAGCTCTCTTTGCATCATCCCACCAAATCATTTTGTGGGAGTTACAAAGACATGGCCATATTAAGAAATTTCACCCCATCCGTCTTCCTATAGTCTTATAGATGGTATCCTACCAAAGACAGTGTTGTACTTCAAGATAGACCATGAAATGTTATTTTGAGGATGAATGTCATTTGTCATTTCTGGCATAGTAAACATATGATGCTTTAATGTCAAATGGCCAGTACAGCCCATTTCAGCTTACTACATGCCTGAGATACTGATCTTTATGTGCTCCATTTGACTGTTGAAGACTTCCAATTTCTGTAGATTCATACTTCATACGTACCACATGTCAATAATTAATGGATGTTGGCAGCCGTTTCTTCTGAGTTGTGCTTCACCAACAAGAATATTAAGTTTCCCCAAACATTGCTCCATCCGTGTTATTAAGGTCAACTCTGCTTTGAGGAGGCAGTTCTCCCAGTTACATATTTTAAGTGCCTGCAAGTCAGTTTTCTCAATGGCGGTGACATTTTGTTTTTGTTTTGTTTTGTTTGCTAACTGTGGGGCTCATCTTCCTGTATTACGCCAGACAGTGTTCTGCTGCTATTCACAAGATTTTTCTGGCTAATAGCGCAGAGATGGATTGGAGAATCTTCCTTTCACCTAGTCTGTCTTACTCTGGAAGCTCTGCTGACAATAATGCACCAGATTACAACTGCTGGTATTTGGCATAGCTTCCTGCATTAAAGCTGCAAGCCACGACAGCATGAAACACTGACAGATGAGCACAGGGATAAAGAAAATAAGAGGCTTTCTAATTTGAAAACTAAGGACAGGAAATTATATTCAGGTGAAGCTATTAGCCACCGTAATACAGTGAGGGAGATTCGGTTCTGGTTGTAAAGAGTTTGACGCTTGTTCTGCTAGTTGTGTAACCTTGTGGAAGTACTTAATCAATCCAGGTCTTAAAATCCTCATATAAATTTGTAGGGTTTAGTTAGAGAAATGTTCCTTAAGATTCTTTGCAGCTCCAAAAGTCCACTCATCTCTGATCCTCTCGGATTGTACTTGGGATCTTCTAAGTACTGAGTGACTGTCTTACTATAATCCTGGGTCAGGAGCTACATCTCCGTTACTTAAGTGTTTATGTTTGTGGTATACATAATTATACAACTAAAGAATGACAGATGATTAGTCCATTTGTAGAAGCATAAGTTCTATGTTATTAACACAGGCTTGTGTTTAACAAAATGGAAGGAAAATTCTCATCAGCTATGTTTATTTCCATGTGTGTTCACAGGAAGTCCAGCACAATTGCCAACTTCATAGAATATCATTTTGTGCAGATGATAAAACTGACAAGAGGATATTCACTTTCATATGCAAAGATTCTGAGTCAAATAAACATTTGTGCTATGTATTTGACAGTGAAAAGTGTGTAAGTATGCCAGATGTTCTAGGGTGGTTTGTTCTATTTTACAAGCCAGGAATTGTCTTGCTTCGGCGTTAGTAGAGGCATTTGGAAATGACTAAGACCTGCAAGGACTTAGCTGCACTAATAGATTCATCTTGTCCTGAGAATATGCTTTAGGATTTCATCCTTAACTAAATTCTCATGTTCATGGGCACAAAGTCGCATGAAATTTCTTTTCTTAGAATTTCATACCACCTTACATTATATAATCATTTATCTTAGGATCATTCAATTGATCTGTACTTTAAATTTCCGGAAATGATTTTTGTGTTAAAGACACAAAGCAAATAGCGTTGGTGAACAAAGTTTTGAAATGTGATAGGTTTGATGAAGATATCCTAAACTCCAGGAAGTAAAATATATTTGGTACTTAAAAAATAAATCTGACATACAGAAAATTTGGGGTTTGATTTTCATTATGCAGAAAACGTAATATAATGAGCAATATTAGAATTGTGTATGTATGTGCTACTTGCTTGTGAGTGTAACCTAATGTTCTTAGCAAATAAGAAGAACAAGTAGAAAATTCCAAGTTCTGCAACAGTTATTTAATCACCTGGAATTTTATGGAAACTCTGTTTTGATTGCAAGCATCAGTAAATGCTATTTTTATTGTAGACTGGGTTAAAACACACAGATGTGAATTTCTTTAGTGCCTTTAATGAAAGAAAACCATTTGATCCAGCAACATTATTGGCTTTAAGTGGAAATAGAGCTTGATTCATTTATGTGCTGCTTTTTCTCATTTCAGAAACAAAAGTACTGCTTTTGTTTTACCATCATGACAAAAACAAATGATAAAGCGCTCAACTGTAAACCTAAAGGTTGACACTTTGCACCCACCCACCGGTGCCTCACAAAACAGGCCTGGTTCTCTGCTTCCGAAGATCTTAGCCTGTATTTCTGTAACTACCAATCTTTAGGGGAGCGGGTAACCTCCTCTTTCTCTTGCAGAGCTGCTGGTGGGGTGTAACTATGAGTCGTGCGGCTCGCTGCCCAAGGCTTAGCCCATTGCACAACCAGGGCTGCTTCTCTGGGGCTAGGGAGAGTCAACATGCCAGTCCTCTCACCATTGTGTACACTCTGGTGGTATTGGTTTTGAGTTAAAGTGGTTTTAATGTGATTGTATCAATCACAATATCTTGGTTATTATATTAGGTGCATAATATTTGGGGGTAGTTTTAAAGAGGTTACTCAATTTGCAACAACACATTGAAGTATTTGTTTTAGGTCATTAAAAATGGGTTTCATCAGGTGTGAGACCAACATTAACCACAGGACTTAGGAGGCACCTGTAAGTTCCCAGAAGCATTGTACAGATTCAAGTTTAGTTGGAAGGAGTGGTGCATAGAAGATTAAGAAGGATCACCTATATCTTTTTTGGTTTGTTTGTTTCCTTATGGGTGTGAAAACTATCATCAATAGTATATTGAAGACAAATTTCTGAATTAGTGGAGCTTATACATGCAGGACAATTATATTTCAGGATGAGATACTTATTTTTCCTCACCGTATTTTCTGTAAGACAATGACCCACAAATTATTGCATGCACAAAACTCACTTGTGGTGCGGCTCATAAATCTGAATTTTAGAAACCTCCCCAGGAGATTAATTTGGGTGAGGATTTATAGAGCAGATCACTGTTCCCTACAACAAATCATTCAGATTTGATTTCATGTCCTTGATTGCAATTCCTGCAGTGTGGCTTCACTAATTCTACTCACTGTATGTGTTTCCTATTCTTCTAACTTTTCTGACCTTTGTCTCTGGGTAAATGCTGCTCTTTTGATCGCACATGGTTGATTATTGTAAGATGTGTGTATTTCTGGAGAGTGTGCCATGGGCCATGTCTGATCGTCTCTACCCCACTAAGGAGGAGGAGAGCCCAACGCCGTATCTTCTCAAGGATCAGTCCTATGAGGCAGAAGTCAGACCTGCCTTCATGCTCCAAATCTTCTACCCGATTCTGACACCATCCACTCCTCCCACGAGAGGTAGATATTCTACCTCTTATACAGGTTTATTAGGGAAGTTAACAGGCTACATTTGTTAAGGATGCACTTCTATATCTACAGTACCTCTTCTCGGCCGTGTTGTCAGGTATGGCTCTCTGGTTTTCAGACTCAGAGCCACTAGACCCCTCGGCATTTTCTGTGGCCCTTGGTGCTTCTACCGCCACTGCCACTTCAGACAGGCATTTCACACCCTCTGTTGATGACTTTTCTCTTGATGATAGAAGAATTCCTTTCTTCTTGCTATTGAGACACCTCCCTAGTGTTACTGTTCCCCTTAGGTCTAGACCCATCTGTTTCTTACCTAAAATTGAGCCGTGGATGTAAGTTTATTTCTAGCTTTGAAGAGTGACCAAGGACCATCGCTTCAGGGGTTTCACCACTCTTATCTGACCAGTAAGCCTGGGTACTTAGTTAGATGGAATTCCTAGGCAATATTGTTCTATAATGCCCATTGCAGTGTCTGCTTTGTGGTGAAGTGAAAACCCTGGTCCAATTGCACAAATTATGGAACCTTGAAGGATGATAAAAGTTATATGTTAGTTAAGTCTTCTATTGCTTGGCAGAATTTTATGCTCGACATGGGTAAGAGGACAGTACAGATATCTATATTTTTAAGGTGTGCCCTTGCCAGGGCAAAAGAGATCCAGTGAAATCTATTTGCCAGTGTTATGTGGCCCTTTATTTCTGCGAAGAGGCAGAGTGCTCTACCCTATAGTTCTGGATGCATTCCCTCCTGAAGAATTTTAGTGGTTACCAGTTAGTTTGTATTATGCATCCTCTGTGTCTTGCAGAGTGTATTCCAAGGCGTGCTGTACCAACAGGGGAGAGAGGGGCTAGGTCAGCAACTCTTCCCATGTCTTTCACTCTAAATACTCCCATGCTCCAGCCTTATATTTTCCAGCGTTGACTTTGCCAGAGTCCTGACCAAGTAGCTAGCCATTTAACCACTGACCAAGGGTTGGTAAAGACAGGAAAATGCTTTTCAAGGGTATGCTCTAATAGGAACTGTGTGCAGTTAAATCTGCTGAGCATTTTTGGTTTATCTCTGCATGGCTATTGAAGTTCTTGGTTAGGGCTTTACATGGTCTGGCTCCCTCAGTTCCTGTGCTTGCCCCGTTAATAAGGAAACACAAATGATTTTTTGTTTCGTTTCATTTTGAACGTGCTGACTGGCCTCCTTTTGGTCACCTTTGTGTTTGAAAGCGTGGGAGCATTGGGGTGGGGGAAGTAAACTCAGCAGTAGGGTATGTGGCTAGTTCCTCTTGGAGCCTTGATGCTCTGGTAGGGTCATGTATAGCTCATTTCTGCAACCGTAATTTCCATTTTATTAAGGAGACTTCTGTTGCTTTCCTGACTTAACAAGATCGTTTTTCCATTCCCCAAGGCATGATTGGAATCTTGGTTCAGAGGGGACTTGGCTCTGGTCCAGTTAGGACTTCAGTTTCAGTTAGTCCTCAGTATGACTCCACAAGTTGTCTCTCCAACAGAAAACAGATCTTTGGGTTCAATCTCAAGACAGTCGAACAAGAAACCCATTGGCAGCCGCTTTCCTGTCCCTTTGGTTCAGAGACTCTAAAGGGCAAATTCAGGGGTAGCTGGAACTTCTGGTTGTATGCACATTCCCCTCACAGCACTGATGGTAAAGTCACTGTGATTGTCTCATTTATTCTGTCGAGTATCTATTATTTGTTTATGTCCCCGCTGAAAAGTGAAAGGTTTACAGGTGACTCCATAAATAGAGGTCAACCTATGATAGATGAGGTCAATGGGTACTGGTGCCAGAATCCAAACATCCTTCCCAGAGGCTGGGTTTTATTTAATGATGTTGGAGTCTGAGTGGCAAACATAATGCAAATTTCCAGGCTGTGAATGGCTCTGTACCTTGTTTTATAGGTTGATGATTGCCCAGCACCTCTGAATGAAGTTCTGGTGATTTTGAGAAAGACACAAAAAACGGTGTAATAAAAAAAGAAATAAAAATGAATTTTTTAAAAAAGCAGTATAATATAGGAAAGATAACTTTTTCAACAAATACTGTTGGTGCAATTGAGCCTTTATAGGTCAATTTAAAATGCTTTTACATAAACTTCAGGCCTCATACATGCATTAGTTAAAAATGCATCACAGACTTAAATATAAATTGTACAAATATAAAATTTTTGTATAAAAATGTAGGTAAAAATCTTCACAATCTAGGATTAGCAGAGTCGTTAAAAACTTGACACCTGAAACAGGATCCATAGATCGAAAACTGATAAATTGGACTTCTTAAAAAATAAAGGTTTGTTCACTGAAAAACATAAAAGGATATAAAATACTATCTACCACCTACCTATTTAACAAGTAGCAGCAACTACAAAATACAAGGAATACCCAAAACAATCATAAAACAAATAAAAACCATCAAATCAGAAAATGTCCCAAAGACACGAAGAAGCATTTCTTTGAATGAAATGATACAAATTGCAAATAATCACATAAACAGATGTTCCACATAAGTAGCCATTAAGGGAATGTAAATAAAAATTCTAATGAGATGTCACTATCTTACTATCACAATGGCTACAATCAATAAAAGCTGGTGAGGACACAGTTTAAATTAGATCGCTCATAAATAGCTGATGGGGATGTAAAAAATTGTACAACCATTTGGGAAAACAATTGGCAGTTTCATTTAAAAAATCCCTGAAAATTAAGCATGCAACTGCCATCTGATTTAGTTGGTCATTTAACCTAAACCCCAGACAAATGAAAATGTATCTTCATAGAACCTTGTTTGCCTTTTGGAGAACTGATGAAGCATAGAAGTAGTAGCACAGATTTTCAACATGAATAACCTAGGAACTCTAGTTCTACCCTGTCATTTAACAGCTAATCAGGTGAATGTTTCAATATGTTGCAGTTGTTAAGTGCCATTAGGCCTGTTCCAACCCATAGCATTGCTGTGTCCAACAGAATGAAACCCTCACAGTTGTGACTGTGTTTGGGCACATTGCCACAGCCAGTGTGTCAACTGGTTTTCAGGTTTCTTCTCTTTTATTTATCCTCTGTCCATCATTTGGCATGTAGATAAGGAACTCAAAATGAATTAAAGACCTAAACGTAAACCCGAGAACTCTAAGCCTCATTAATGACAAAACAGGGAAACACCATCAAGCGTAATGAAAAACACACAGGAGACAAAATGGTTAACTGGCATCTCCTAAAAATAAGACACACTTAGGTGCATCACAAAATTTCATCAAAAGAGTTTTAGAGAACACATAGACTAGGAAAAAATTTTGGCAATGACATGTATCAGACAAGGGACTAATCTCTAGAATCTTTGAAAACTTCAACACCTTAACAAGAAAGAGGAATAATCCAATTTTAAAATGGACAGAGGACTTTATTTTTTTTTCTTTTACTGTGGAACGTATTTATTTTTTATGAAAATATATTATCACCGTGAATGTTTAATGAATTATTAATAGTATTTTTTTGTTTGTTTGTTTGTTTGTTTGTTTTTTCTATTTTACTCTTTTTTTGTGTTTATTTTTAACATTTTATTAGGGGCTCATACAACTGTTATCCCAATCCATACACACATCAATTGTGTAAAGCGCATTTGTACATCGTTTCTCA